ATCATAAAACACGCGCATTGCTCTTTCCCATAATATGAGCGCGTCACATGTATAAAATAGCATTAGGTAGAACTTTAACAAATAATTAATGCTATCAACATTTTTTCAGACGTTTTTTAATATTTTTTAATGAATGAAAAAGCTTTGTTCGATAAAATTTTTTGTTTTTGGATATTTCGATGGTTTATCAGAAGACATAAAAGTTGCTACTATTTATAAGCTAAATGCATGTACTTCTTTTACACTAAAAAACATGCAACTTTTTTCTTAAGTATTCAATTGTGCCAAATTTACTTATGAGTCACAAGCAAATGCATTATTAATCTAGAAAAAAATCACAATCACTAATTTATAACAAAATTGTCATATTTTCTCATGAAATAACGATGTACCTATTAGAAAACTGACTTTATTTTTGACTGCTAAATTATGATATAGTGATCATTAAAAATGCCCTTGTAATTAATTAACTCAACTCACTTTTTGATTTAAACTTTAGCAATAAAATGCCTTTAAACTTTGAACTAGCAGATAGACATGCTGAAAACGACTCTCACCAGTTTGTCAATCGCAATCGGCAGCCATTTCTAATTTCACTGCTACTAAATTTTTCGCCAAAAAGCATCACCAAACTGCTACTTTTCATATTTTTAACATTGTTTGCCCTGGTGATCATCGTAACTCTTTTTGCCGGAGTCTACTATTTCAAGCTGAGTAAAAAAACGGAAAAAAGCGAGAACGATGGAGTAAAGATGAGCACTCAAAACAACACCAATAACAGAGAAGTGGAGTTAGCCTTTCGGCAAGCTTACATCCGGAACATGACCGCCAGCGCCTTTGCCCATTACCGGAAGTACGCCTGGGGCAAACCTGCATTGGCGCCTCTCAGCCGGAAAAGCACCCACACCAATATGACTGGTCCTCTTCCCGGGCAAACCATCGTCTACGCCATGAGCACCTTCTGGGTGATGGACCTCAAAGAGGAGTGGGCGGCCGGAAGGGAATGGATTGCCAACCACCTCCGCCTCGACGACGTGAACGCCCAACTTGATGTTCACTACACCATCTCTTTCTACATTGGTTCGCTTCTCTCCGCCTACGCCCTCAGCGGTGATCAGGTGCTGCTGATCAAAGCGATCGAGGTGTTCAACGCCTTGCCTAAAAATGGCCTTTTTGATCTAGGTTCTGGACTTACGCCGCAAAAGTTTAACCCTAAAACGAACACTTACGAGCATACAGCGAACTACATCTCTTTTCAAGTTCCAGAGCTAATTTACCTTTTTAACCTGACAAGGAATCAAGAAATCGGCGACTGGCTAGCAAAAGGACGAGCCGAATTACGCAAGAGAAGTGGAGTTCACACATTTGAAAAGAAAACAGGTTTCTGGGAGCCAGCCAAATACGCCTGGAGAGAAATTTCAGGCCACTTTGACGACATGCTTTCTTCGTACAATCAACTTGGTCAATGGGACACTGAATTGTTAGAATTATTTTTTGAAGGAGTTGAGAGCACTAAAAAAGAAGGGCAGTTCTATTCAGTTGACGGACAGTTGTATATGAACAATTTTGACATTAAGACGTACCAGTTTGTGAAGTCTATGGATGATCAAGACTGTCGATTTGGTGGCATGTTTGCCCTTAGCTCAACGGCTTACCAAAAAATAAATTTATTGAAAAAAGCTGAAAATCATCTTGAACTTGCTATTAAAATTACACGTACCTGCTACTTTAAAGCACACAATACTAAAACAAAATTGCTTCCAAAAAAGTTTACGTATGCAAAAATTATTGACAGTTCAGCCCTGGTTGAGTATGTTTCTGTTTGATTCTGTGTGTTATGCCTGATGTTAAAAAAACCTTATATTTTTCAGTACTTACCTTGCACAATCTTACTTTTTTCTTTATCGTCAAACGGGTGATGAGAAGTACAGAGAGTGGGCCTGGGAGCTGGCGCAAGCCATCAACAAGCACTGTCGAACTGAAAATGGAGGATTCAGTAGTTTGAAGAACGTCGATTCAGTGCCTGCAGAAATGAGCGACAACCAGCCAGCAAATTTGTTTTCCAGCACTTTTAAGTACCTTTACTTAATATTTTCAAATCAATCAGTGTTGCCATTAGATAAATGGATTTTTAATCGCCGAGGCAGCCCATTGCCAGTTTGTGGAACAAACGTACACTATCCGAAACAGATGTGTGAACGTTAACTTTATTTTACTTTATGTTACATAGTGTATCATAATACTTAGTTCATTTGTTATTTTTTTAAAAAATGTTTTCAAATCGATGTTTACAAAAACAAAACAAATTTAAATTTTTAATAACAAATTGCACAAAAATTTAAAAATTGTTGTTACATTTTTGCAATAACATAGGGTACTGTGCTTGAATACTCTGTCAGAGAAAGGCCATTTTTGCGAATTTTATACAAATCAAAAGTAAAAAAAATTGTTAAAACGCAAATAAAAGTTTGGAAAACAACAGTAGCCCAGGTAGTTGGATCAAAAAATGCATATGAAATTAAAAGTGGAGTTAACAAGATTAAAATTATTGAAAAGAAACAAGAAAAATAAAACCATTCTTTGAAAACAGAAACAAGACCAATTGCAAAAAATAAAACTTGAAAAAGATGCGCTGTAATGATAACACCAATTGTAAAAATCTAAAAAAAATATTTTTTTAGAATGTAAAAAATTTAAAAGTTTATAATATTGTTACCTTTTCCTCAGTTGTAATTTTTTGTCGTCATCAATTTTTGTTGTATTTTTATTTAAAGAAAAATCATTGTCTTTAGCCATTAACACTGCAAAACACTCCGCAACACAAAACAAAAATATTAAAACAAATCGAAAGCCATAAAACAGGTATAAAAGTTTCTTTTTGGCATAAAATGGTTTTTGATTTACTGACATTTTGAAATAAAAAATTAATTTAATTAATTTTTAAAAGCAGTTAATTTAACAAACGAAACTAAATTATTAAAGTAATTTGTCATTTATTAGTGTTTTAACATCCTGTGAACACTTTTTCATTTCCTGAGAGTAATATTAAGATATGAGTTTCCTATTATTAACGATACAATTTTTTGTAACCTTTTATTTTACGAGTTAAATGGTTTGCGTCAACTGTTTGTTATCAATCTTTTTAATAACAATACTTTTGTCAATAAAAAAATTAAACAAACAACTTTGAAAATCTTCAAACTATGATCATTGATCACACGATTACACCGGGCGTCAGCCCGGTG